TACACAGTGTTTATACGCGGAACTTGATATTGCTTTTTACAATTTGGGTTGCCTTTGAATCACATATTTTAGTGAAACATTGTTTATAGAGTGAAATATTAGTGTCATACATAATTCAATCTTTGAAACAATAGAAACGAACATATAATAACGATAATCAAATTTGTGTTTGAAGTTCGAAAGTAGTTGCGTTATTTCCGGTTTCAACTGGTTCGAAAATAGAACGTCCTTGAGCGCAATAAAATCACGCGTAGAACTCCATCCGAACCAGACTCTAGCAGCGTAAACTTATTGCAATTTGGGCAATTTGGGCCCAGTTTGTTCTTACAAGTTTTCTAAGTTTCATTTATTATTATTTAGTAAACAGGTCTCTGAAACGATTTAATATATCCGTAAAATACGTGGCAATCGACGATTGACTTCGAAACATTCAAAATTTCGAACAAACTCCCGGCACACCTTGCGCGATATGCGTCAGATCGGTGTAGAAGACGCCGAACTGCAGCGTCAATGTATATCAGTAGTATAGCAAACAACCTAACAAATCAATTGGAGAAATTATATCAGTAGTATAGCAAACAACCTAACAAATCAATTGGAGGAATTATATCAGTAGTATAGCAAACAACCTAACAAATTAATTGGACGAAATTATATCAGTAGTATAGCAAACAATCAATCTCCCCAGGCAGAGTTATATTACGAATATATCTCTGCCACCACGTGATCTTATGCTTGTCGTTGATTGGTCGATGTGTCACAGTGGTACTACTTTCAAAGACACGCACCAAAACATTGCAATGCAGGTGTTCGATTTTCGAACACAACATAAGTGTGCACATTGTTTGTAGATTCTGGCTGTGGCAATAGAACGTGTTCGCTGTCAATACCACGAAGTGCTTTCCTTTCTTCATAATATGTCTTCGTCTAGCGATCGACAGGGCCGTCAGCTTGATGAACCGAGTAACACCTTAGTAACCGTTATTCCGCGATGAAATTATTTTCTTTTGTAAATTATAACTATTTCACCGTTTTCAGTGTGTTTATGAAAAAATCATTATCAGCTATCGACGAAATAATTTAAAACTTGTTTTCAAGTAGGAATAAATCAACACGAAAGCCATCTAATAACAAAAATACGCAAATGATACGCGTAGTAAAAGTCTTGTGGTGTTTCACCACAAAATGGCGGTATGTGGTGGCAGAGATACTTTCGGTGATCTAACCGCAAGGAACTCTGGAAGGAGAATGGCAAACAACCTAACAAATCAATTGGAGGAATTATATCAGTAGTATAGCAAACAACCTAACAAATCAATTGGAGGAATTATATCAGTAGTATAGCAAACAACCTAACAAATCAATTGGAGGAATTATATCAAGAACGAACAATCAAAACAAGTTGGATATAAAAAAAAATCTATAAAAGACATTCTGTCCCACCATGTCAAACTTTTGTGACATTTCGTGTTAGAAGCAACCTTTATGTCATCACAATTTTAGAATCATTTGTCATGGTTTTATCTGTTTACCAATACCATGGTCTGAAATGTCAGGAATGGTAATACAACTTTATAGATTTTCATAGAGTATTTTGCTAGAAAGCAATATAACATTTATAACATTGACTTTTGATTCCCTTCACACGTTAGTGATTAATACTGATGAATATTTTCAAATAAAAATGTTTATGAATTATTTTTATTTATATGTCACATAGGGATATTTTTTTTCTTTCTGGTTCTGACGAATTCAACTTTCATGATATCAACCCTCATTTTAATTATACAACAACTAATTATATTTTGATTTGGCTACAACAAATTACTGTCACTTTCACCATAAATCATCGTCCGCCTGCACGGTGTTGTTTCGTTCGGATATTCCTCCCTCTACAACACCGTGCGGTAATTCTATTCATAACCGTGTATGTCAAGTGGTTGTGCGATAGAAAGTTTACCGACCAATAGAAAGCTTTGTTACAATGACTGCCAGAAACGGCTGGAGCTTTGCATTCCTCCATGGTTGCAGTGACATCATGAACTTTGA